ATGGAAAGACGTCAGGACCATGTGAGAAGCGATTCAGGAGCACAGAGCTACACATACAAACTAATTAGGGAGCAAGTTGCTACATAACAGAGAGCAGAAGGTGTCTTTCAGGGTGCCGGGAGGTGCTGTGTAATAGCAAACTTTAATAGCATAAAGTTTGAAATAGCTTTCTTGAATTTTCAGCACTGTAGTTTTTTTTACCTACAGTTTAATATTAAATAACCAAACAAGTAAGAAGAGGTAAATGAACGTCTGCACTACAATTTGAAATGAATTATTTGTAATGACTGTCATTTGTGAAAGTAAAGCAAAGTAAAGGCAGAAATAAATGGCAACACTTCACTCAGCCAATATTTCAAACACCAGTTTTGGCTTCCAGTAATGCTTATTTTAATTGGCCATTATAGGTCTGTTTGCATTTCCACTTTATCTGCTGGTCTTAGTGGGAGATGTGATACCGTCCGTTTAAGGAAATGCCACTTAATATATTAATACGAGATCCAGGGTGACCGATAAGACAATCTGTTGCAATGATACTGAAAAATACATATTTATTATGCCTTTCTCCTGAATCTTTTGTCAAATGAATCAAAGGGCAGCTTTGGCTTGACTGCGCTCAGCCTGCAGTTTTATCAGGCTTAGTTTGACTTATCTGAAATTGTTCAATAAACAATAAGCACTTTCCAGCACCTGCCTCTAAATGGGGCTCACTTTGTCTGTCAGTCCTTTGCACAGACATGCCAGGTAAGTGTACATACAGTCAAGAAGGGGGTATATTTGCACATCCTGAAACAAGGCCTGTACATCTAAGGCTCTGTGCATTTTGGTACTGCTAAAACGTTTTGAGTGCACAAACGTTTTCATTATTAATGGGAACCGGTACTCTTCCACCAAGTCAGGGGTCCATAGACAATTATTTACTTTTCTTATTTAGGAGACACCTTTGTTCAAAGACATACACTTAAGAGAGCAGCATCAGACCCTATCCCTTGGAGCAATGGTCCAATATATAGGGTCTATTGGCTCAATAGTAAAGCCACTTTACCAGGCAGGGGACTTGAACCAGCAACCTTCTGTCATAACCCAGAGAACCACACCACGCAATGGGGAGAAGAGAACAGGTCTGATCTGGTGACTTATAATACCAGATATGGGCATTAACATATTGGGCCCCATAATCCCACAGCAGCCGTTGACTCAACCAGCCTATGAAATGCTTACCATGTTTCATTGTGTGGCTTTGGATGTTTTAATAGGCCATTTTGAAAATATGTACCAGGGGTTTCTTGCTGATTCCATTCCACAGTCTTTATGCCTTGGAGTTAAAAAAAGAAAAACAGCCCATAAGGATTATAGCTAAACATGATAGCTAAAAGTAATAGTACAATGCCTCAGCAAACCATACCTGGCTTCAGCTCAAAAATAGACTGCGTCTTAAGCTTTATTTTATGTATTGTCAAAAAAATATTAGCTATACTTCCATTTCTTCAGCTATCTCGTATGTTATGTTATCTTCATGGGCATCCACTGCATGCTAACACATGCTATGCTCACAATAGTTGCTAGATGGCAGAAAAGAACTAGTCTGTGTGTCCTCTGCCATACCCATGAGGATGAGATGTCGTTTTACATAGTCATTGAGCGCCACCTGGTGGACAATACCCCATTATTACTGGAGTAAACAAAGGAAACCAACACAGACTTGAGTAGATCATGCAAACTCCACACCCACAGACCTAGGATTGGCACTTAAAGCCCATAACCTGGAGGTGTTGAAGTTACCATACCATAGTTTTTAGTTGAAAATACAGAAACTGAAATATAGTGGCATTCTGACGCCAGTTTTTTTTTTTTTTAATTTGTTAAACTTTTTAATGTACCAGTGCCCCAAAATTCATAAATCAGCTAGGCCGTGTCACGAATGAAGCATGGAACCAGAAATGATTCAGCTCAACAAGATGTGAAAATGGCGTGAGCTATTGCAGCGATCTGTTAAGCACCTTCATTAGTGCAGTGTTATGATGAATATCGCCTGCTCTGGCACATCCCTGCATTTGCACATAATTTAGCGAGATTGTGAATTCAGATTCCTGGGAGGGGCTGCAATCTTCTGACTGCTAGCTGACCTGAGCTTTTTTAGTAAAAATCAACCTTTATAAATAGAAAACAGTGCACATTCCTTTTAAAAATGATCTTCTTACTAAGCAAAAAAATAATATCTGATTAGTAGATCTACAATGTACATCGATCAGCTATAGCATTAAATCAACTGACAGGTGAAGCTGAATGACATTGATTGTTTTGTTACAATGGCAACTGTCAAGGGTGCCGTTATATATAAGGCAAGTGGACAGTTAGTTTTTGAAGTTATTGTGTTGGAAGCAGGAAAAAAGTGTAAGGTAGTAGATGACTGGGCCAGAGCATCGCCAAAAGGGCGGGTCTTGTGCTGTCTTCTCATTATGCATTGGTCAGTACCTACCAAAAGTGGTCAAAGGAAGACCAATTGTAAATCAACCTTGGGGGCACGGGTGCCCAAGGATCATTGATGCGTGTGGAGAGCAAAGGCGAGTCCATTTGGTCTAATCCCATAAGACAGGTACTATAGCACAAATTCCTGAAAAGGTTATTGCTGGCTATGATTGAATGGTTTTAGAACACGCAGTGGATCGCAGTTTGCTCTTAAAAGTGCCTACAATGGGTGTGTGAGCATCGGAACTAGACCATGGAGTAATGAAAGACGGTGGCCTGGTCTGATAAGTCATGTTTTCTGTTACATCATGTAGATGGCCAGGTGACTGTGTATCATTTACCTGGGAAAGTGATGGCACCAAGATGCACTATGGGAAGAAGGTAAGCTGGCAGACGCAGTGTGATCAGGTCAATGTTCTGCTGAGAATCCTTGGGTCCTGGCATTTATGTCTATGATAATTTGACACGTATCACCCACCTAAACACTGCAGCAGACCAGATACACCCCTTCATGACAGTGGTATCCCCTGATGACAGTGGCCTCTTTCAGCAGGACAATGCGCCCTGCCACACTGCAAAAATGCTTCAGGAATGGTTTGAGGAACATGACAAAGAATTCAAGGTGTTGACTTGGCCTCCAAATTCCCCAGATCTCAGTCCGACTGAACATCTGCAGGACGTGCTGAACAAACAAGTCCGATCCATGGAGCCCCCACCTCACAGTTTACAGGACTTAAAGGATCTGCTGCTAATGTCTGATCCCACGGGACCCTTCAGAGGTCTTGTGGAGTCAGTGCCTTGACAGGTCAGAGCTGTTTTGGTGGCACGAGGGGAACCTACACAATATTAGGAAGGTGGTTTTAATGATATGGCGGATCAGTGTATATAATTCTCTGTGAGAAGAGTGGAGACTCCCGCATACTTGTTTGTTTTTTTCCCAGTCACTCGCTGTGCCGTGCAAATGACATTTTCCATTAATAAATAATGAGGACACCCTTAAATATAATGGGTGGAAAATTGCTTTGCAAGAAAGTGATGAATACAGTGATGACAAGTCATGCATTTTTAATATGTTTTATCGGCTGGTAGAAGGTGTGAAAGATCATGGGTCGGGTTTCAGGCATCCTCTCATGAGCTTCATGCGATATTCATGCTTTGTTTCACAGCGAGATGTTGCCTCTTGGGGAATCCCTTCTGTTTACAGTGTGTGCGTGTGACCACACGGGTGCCACAATAATGACTAAGAGCTGCATGAATTCTGCAAAAGTGTTTACGAAGCATATAAAAAATGGTCCATGTGCACAAAATGCATTACTAAATTATCCAAACATTAATATGCACACATCTATAATTAAAATGTCTGCCCTCAGTGACTAGGCATTGGGGCAGTGAGTAGCTCTGTAGGCTGGAAGATCACTGGTTTGAGCCTCAGCCTTGGCAAAATAGTCGCATGTACTGTACATGGGTCCCTGAGCAAGGCTGTTAGCCCCCATCTCTGGGGGAGCTACACACTGGCTGATCCTGCGCTCTGACCCCCAACTTTGGTAAACAAGATGGCATAGGAAGAGGGAAGCGTTCCTGTACTCGTACTTGTGCAAATGGCAAATTAAGGGTGTTTACTTCATTACCAACATACAGTATATGGCCAAAAGTATCATTCTGAAACCAAAGGTATTATTATGAAGTGGAATGTCACTAACCTGCTCTGTGCGACCATCCATTCTGCTGCTAATGTTTGCTGCAGGTTGGTTGGGTGACTTTGTGCTTAAAACAACGTCAGCAACAGGTGTGATGAAATGATACAATTCCACATACTTTTGGCCATATATTGTAAACTCATCCAAAAAATAATCAAACAAAATGAAAAACACTGGCAAAATACAAGCAATACTAAGAATGAGAGAAGTATATTATACAATTTCCCAGCAACCCAAACAACCTGACAAACATTTTATAATGGAATATTTTCTCATTATCCCCCATGTTTACAATCTAATCCATCTTCCCGGCTTAGTTGTCACCTATAATCTAAATATTTAGTTGAATTGGGTCTACTGGAACGCTGCAGGGTGGCATGGTGGTGCGGTGGCTCACGCTGTTGCCTCGCAGTGCTGGGGCCAGGGTTCACATATCTGTCAGGGTACAATGTATGTGGAGTTTGTATGTTCTCCCTGTGTGGGGTTTCCTCTGGATACTATGGTCTCCCCCCACACGCAGTCCAAAAATATGCTGATGTTAATTGGAGTTACCAACTTGTGCATGTGTGAGTGATTGCTATGAGAACGTGCCCTGTGATGGGTTGTTCCTTGCCTTGTGCCCATAGGCTCTGGACCCCCGCAACCCTGATTAGGACAAGCAGTTAAAAAAATTGATGGAGAGTTGCATTGCTGTTTCAGGCACAAAATGTAGTTAATAGAACTCATTACATGCATGTAAAAAACTAAAAACGGTTTTAAAAAAATTAAATGCACATTAATTGAAACTGAATTTATTGAAATATGACTATTATAATGATGACTATTTGAATGCAGCTTGCCAATAATAGCATCGGAGGCACGGGCGTCGCTCCTGACACCTAGTGGCTGTGAGTTTGCCCACAGTAAAGATGGCGGCGTCCATGTGGAGGGTCGGTAGCTCTGCAGGCCGAGCAATCGCTAAAGCTCGCAGTGTAAGTCGTTGATTTTTTTATTTACTGTTTAGTGGTATTATTATAAACCCTATATGCTTTACCTTGTTTGTGCTTCAAGGCACAAGAACTCCACAAACAACCCGGGGATCACCTTAATAGTGCGGAATCAGGGGTCTGCGCTAGCAAGTAGCCTAGCAGATCTGGGAAGGTCACACAGTACAGAGTCATTACAAGATTACAGTGTTGTCGGTGCGGATTAGGATGGCTGTTTCTTAAACGTTATCATACCATTTTAACAATTGTATAACTGCTTTGGTTTTATGCAAATATCTAACGTTGCAGAGGAAGCGGAAGGACAGTTTGGTGGCCTATATAATGAATGTGCTTTATTTCGAAATAATGACTATTTAGTCACAAAATCGAAATTAAAAGGTTAACACTGAATTAAATACTCTCGAAAGTATAACCTAGACTCGTTCCTGTGCTGAACTGCTTAAAACTATTAATAAATTTAGTGATTTAATCATTATCTAGTGACCTGTCGTTACATAAACTGACTGTGATGGGGAAAATAAAAACTAAAACTGTTTTGGTGTAATAACGATATTTATGATCATTGTGTAATTTGCTTAAGGAATGATTTTGTAAACTATAAGTTTAACTAACTGATAAGCTGTTTATAGTACTTATAACATGAATCTGTTGCGTTGTCCTTCATATGAAGTTAGCTACTTATATATCAGTATATACAAGCATAAAGGCCAGAGCTAGTTCTATGTTTTACTAACTAGTCATTATTATATAAGGGTACATTTATTGGGTAGGAGGATGAATTGATTGATGAATGATTGTTATGCATACATTTCATTGTACTCAAGTTTTTGCAATATACAGGAAATGCTTTTAATCCAGGTTGGTCAGGGTTAATATCTTGCTCCAAGCCCTTAAAGTAGGCCTTTCTGGCACTGTTTTTCCCTCCTATGTTCAGTTTTTAACCAGCATGAAGACCTCATAATTTGTCTTTTATTCTTCCCAGCCTGTCCTCCTGCCTTGGAAACGGGGACAGGGTAGCATTTCCTACGCCCAGAGTCTCCAGGCTCACCCAGAGACGCTCCTCAGCACCCTGGACAATGGCCTGCGTGTCGCCTCCGAGGAGACAGGGCACAGCACCTGCACGGTGAGCATGTGCCACGCGTGTATCGGCACGCACACGCACACACACGCACACACACGCACCACGAGTGCCAGGCAAAAAAACGGCCCTTAAAACTGCTTGCTGACAATAAATTTACTGGGCCAATATACACTGTTGTAGTATTTTTCCTTGAAGTTCCTTGTCATTATGGAAGTGTGTTGCAAATAATAATAATTATTATTCGGTAATCAGGCTAAATATGTGCTAAATATGAGGTGGTTTGTGTGCCTCCCCCTTCAGGTAGGGCTGTGGGTGAACTGCGGCAGTCGCTATGAAACGACGAAGAACAACGGAGCCGCTTTCTTCCTGGAGCACTTGGCCTTTAAGGTAACGGCTTCAGCAGGTATCCGTCAGTCTGGCTGGCTGGAAATGGTCAAATGCACCCAGAGCCAGCTGCTCTCCTGCTGTCCTCCTTAGCAGTATGAAGATCTATCTGTTACGTATTATTTCATTTTTTAAACCTGTTATACCCATTCGACAGCGTGTATGTTTGTAAGGTGCTTGTTGCTTCACTTGAACTCTACTTTGGACAAAAGCATCTGCCACATAAATTTGAATGTAGTGTTTTATTGCAATTCTTATGATTCTATGAAATGTGTATCTGTGTAACTGTACCTGTTTAAGGTAAAATATTGCCATGTCGCCCACCACTAGTTGGGACAAAATTTAATGTTGGTAAATTACTTGACCTGCTGATAAAACTGGCAGTATTTAGGCTGACTGGCCAATTGTCGGTCAGCAGTGATCATGGTGAAAGTCGGCCGTTTCCTGTCATAAGCCGATTGATCAGTGGATCCTTATGTCTGTGTTTTGGTTTTTTAATACTATTTAAGCTGCTCTTAATATCTTACATGATGCGTTCCATCTTAATCCTTTCTCCTCCATTTTAAATTCCTAGGGGACCAAGAAGTACCCACAGGGGGCACTGGAGCAGGAGGTGGAGTCTATGGGCGCACACCTCAGTGCCTACACCTCCCGTGAGCACACCGCCTACTACATGAAGAGCCTCGCCAAGGACCTTCCTAAAGGTGAGCTCTTTACTCCTTTGCGGCTTTGGGGCCCTGTTGTGCCCTTGGGAGCCTTTGTCTCCCTGGGAGAAGTTTGAGTTGCTTTCTCCCTGCAGGACCGGGTAGATCTGGGACCATTTTTTGAGTCCCTGCTCCAGACTAGAATCACGAACTGCTAGGGTGGGATTTACAGCAATAAGCTTTGCTGATTGGATGATAACAAGCACCAGCGCTAACATGGGAGTTGCACAGAAGTGCTGGGGAAAGAGATGGAAGTAGTGGAACAAAAATTGAGCAGATGAATTATGTTTGCATCTCCATTACATTAAATGTATCAATGACTACATTAGTATACTTTTGTCCAATATCTCCGATGTTGGCAGTGAAAGTAAGAGTGCTTTTTAGCAGAAGGACGTTATTTATTTATTTTTATTCTGCGGGGCCAGGTTTAATAAAGAATTATAAACATGTTATAAACATGTTATAAACATGTTATAAATAAAATGTAAATCAACGACTGTGTCCCATTTTTCAGATTGTGTGATTAATCCCCCCAGTAACTTACAAAATTACTAGTTTATCCTCCATTGTTTTGGGGTGGCGGTGTAGTGAAATTTAACCTATGTGTCTCCCACGCTTATTTAGCATTAAGGTCCCAGTTCTTATTATGTGGTGGGAAGAGGCACCACATGAAAGAGACCAGGAACTACAAAAGTTGGAGATGGCTCTGGAACTTGGTTATTGAACATCTGCGGCAAAGTGCCTATGGAGTGCAGCCATTTCATAGACTGGGAATTCCGCGCCTCCTTAGGCCGTGCCTGCGTGTGTCAGTCTGTCCCGTCGGTCCGTCTTGCCTGCCTGTCTGTCCCGCCCATCCGTGTGTGTGTGTAATGGAGGCCGTGTTTCCCAGCCGTGGAGCTGCTTGCGGAGGTGGTGCAGGGTAGCCTGCTGAGCGAGGCCGAGATCGAGCGCCAGCGGGGGGTAGTGCTGCAGGAGCTGGAGGAAATGGAGGGCAGTCTGCAGGACGTCTGCATGGATCTCCTGCACGCCACCTCCTTCCAGGGCACTCCTCTGGGACAGAGCACCCTGGGCCCCTCCCACAATGCCAGGTATGTGGCCAGTCATGCTTCCACATTCACTCTCTCTCTCCCACCCCTTCATGCTGCGGCTCTGTTACTAAGTGCAATATGTATGTTAGCAATCTGTAAACCCTTGAGCTCACCCCCAATTTCACGCTGTCCTGTGTTTTTGTACTTCCTAAGTACTCTGAAAACCCTCCTCTTGTTATTTGCTGTGTGTATGTTGCCTCATGGCTCTGGGGGTCCCACTGTTTACCTGCATATGAATGGTATGACAATAAAGCCCATCTGATTTGTTAATCTTTGTGAGCATGTCCTCATCTCATCATTTAATGAATCCCAGTCATGCCCTACTTGTCCTCAAAAACACTGAAAATCAGCCTTTTTGATACCTGGTGTTGGTTTAGGGATGAAACAGTTACCAGTTTCACGGTAAACCACGTGAAAATTCTTTAGTATCCCGCAACAAAGTATCAAAGTTTCAAATTTTAATCAATTATTAAAATTGTGGCTGATACCACACTTGGAAAACTTGCATTAATTACTGTACAACATCAACCAAAGTTGGCAACAGTCTCTCAGATGCAGGTTCGCAGGCGCAGCGTGCAAAGTGGGTTTGTTTGTTTGAGTGAAAACATGCCGGAAGTCAGTGACAGCGCACCGGAGATTTTTAGTGTTAATCTACATTTAATATTGTTTTAATATGTTTACATGAGGCATTGACTATGTGATTATTTTAATGTTCATGCAAACATGAAGAATTTAGTGCTGCTAATTTTATTTGTTTTTCAGTATAGAACTTGAAGTGATTTCAATTTGTCAGTATTTTTTGAACATTTTCAGCACATTTTAACAGTACTACGATAACATTGATTGGCGTGAATTTCAGTCAATATAATCTTATTCAAAAATTTTCCTTCCGTTTCATCTCCGCTGCCTAAGTCTCCCTGAGTCTGTTCACTTTTTCACGTGTCGGGCCGCCCTAACCCTGTAGAGCCACGTCTGACCCTTACTCTGCTGTCTCATGCTGCAGGACCCTCACTCGCCAGGACTTGCTGGAGTTCATCAGCAGCCACTTCAAAGCCCCTCGCATGGTGCTGGCTGCTGCCGGAGGTGCTGTTCTTCTATTCCTGTGAAATTCCCTTTGATTTCTGCTCTCAATCTGTATTGACTCACATTTGACGACATGCATGCTGTTTCCGCATTGAGTTCTTGAGTGAGTTTGTGGACTTGTTTTGGTGCACTTGGCTGTATCAGATTGTTTTTCATTTGAATCTACTGCTGTTGCATCGATGCTTTTCTGCCATGTTTGGCTGGTCTCCATGCTGTTTGTGGAAATGTGACCCTGCCCCCGCAGGCGTGAATCACCGGGAGCTGGTGGACCTGGCTCGCCAGCACTTGGGGGGCGTGTCCTTCCAGTACGAGGGAGACGCTGTGCCTGTGCTGTCACGCTGCCGCTTTACTGGGAGTGAGGTGAGACTGGCTGCACACATGCTGGCCCAGATAGCAAATCCAACTGTAGCAACCACTAGCTCACCCCTGTTAATTGGAAGAACTAATTAAGCGCCACCCATTGCTGACATTGGTGTAGCACACAACCATTCAATCCCCACCTGCAAACACTGGCAGCAGGATAGACATCTTTCCAAATGTGTGCCATGCTAGAGCTGCCCTGGCCAGTGTGAAGTAACTGTGAAGTGGAACCATCTGAGAGCATGTGGTTGTTCGGCTACACCGGCTCAGAAAGGGACCTGGCCATCCAACATCAAATACCCAACCTCAATGGCAGCAAATGCCACCATAAATGTTCCAGCATCTTCCCCGTAGACGAGAGGGTATTCTAGCAACAAAGGGTGTTCCAACTTCATGTCAGTGCTTTTGGTTTGGGAATGAGACGTTGGATGAGCTCGTGTCCGTGTGTTTGGCTATATAGTGTTTGCTCAGGCTGAAATACACCAGACATGCAAGCAAGATTTATTCCTGGTGATATGAGAAAGTGTCAGCCTTGAGGGAGTATGATGGAGGACATCAACAGCCAAATAATAGATGACAAAGCAAAGATCGAATGGAGATAGAAGGAAGACGTATAAGACCTCTGTAGTGAAGCCAGCAACAGACAGGATACATTTAATGAGGTCAGATCCATGGAGGAGCCTTCAATAATGGATGGGGATGGTCAAATGTCACTACTGTTACTGCTGAAAAGGATGGCCATAGGGATAGCTGATGGCCATAGGGATAGCTGATGGCCATAGGGATAGCTGATGGCCATAGGGATAGCTGATGGCCATAGGGATAGCTGATGGCCAT